TATATATATATATATATATATATATATATATATATATATATATATATATATATATATTTTAAACAAGCAGAGATAGTAACTGTACTCCCCCATCACCAGATCTTCTTAGCTTGGGATTACTGGTTCTAGACAAGTTTCATTTTAAAGCCCAGGCTGGCCTCAAATCTGCAATTATCCTGCCCTCAGCCTCCACAGTGCCATGATTACAGGCATGCACCATGAAACTTTGCACTTTGTATTCTTGGTTTTCTTTTGTCCATATTACCATTTCAGTCATCAGTACTTGTTACTTGTTACCTAGACTAGAAATAGCGAAAGTAGAGGATACAGGATTCGTTGTTGCTTTCTCCCTCCATGCTGAATTAAAAATCCGTTTTGACTTATATTCTCATAATCTGTTCATCATTTCTAAAAAGAGTTTTAGCAGCTGAGACTGCTTAAATGATACTAGTTCTCTTGAATATCTGAATTTGAACATTTAGTTGCTAGATTACCCTCTTTGTATATAGCTCAGTTGGTTGCTACCATCCAGAAGGCAAATAACGATAAACACCTAAGTCTTTTTTTCCTTCCTGTATGCTATTTCTCTGCAGTGGTTTGTCAGAAAGAGTCAGTTAGCCTATAGAAGATTAAATAATTGGCTATATAAGCATGTGTGTATGTGATATATGTGCTTACACATAGACTCTGCACATTTCTCAAAAATTGTAGGTAATAAGAAACACCTCTTATTTATTTTGATTCTGGAAAGAACCATCATGGACAGTACACTGATATATGTTACAGTAAGAGACCTTTGAATTATCCGTGTGATAGACTTTCTAACTGTAAATGACAATGAAATAGATTGGCACAACAGGTACCACAGCTTAGATCTAAAATAGCCCCAGCAAGGCCAGCATGTTAGACATTTATTTTCCAGCCTGTGGTGCTATTGGTAGGTAATGGAACCTTCAGTAGGTGTGGCCTACTTGGAAGTTAGGTTACTGGGGAGTATACGCTAAAAAGAATTATGGGCGCCTATCTCCTTTCTCCTTCTCTTTACTCTCTGGCTGTCATGCTCTTGTGCTGTGGCTGTTCTGGCACAGGCTAAGAGCAACAAAATCAAGCCATCATTGACTGAAGTCATGAACCAAAATAATCCTTTCCCCTTATCATTTGATTTTTCTTCTATACTTTCTCACAGTGATGCAGAAGCAAATTTGTACAATTTCTGTCACTGGGGATTTACTTAAACATGTAAAATTGTCTACTAGGGCGTTTTAGGCCATAGATGCTTAAGAGGCCCACTATAAAGGGGATGGGAGTTGAGTAGAAAAAAATAAAAACAAAGGACTCTAATCCTGGGACTGGCTTGTATTATGGAGTCAATGGGGGTAACTCATTTCTCCTTCTTGGGCCTCTGTTTCTTCCTCCAAACAGTGAGGGACTTGTATTGATGATAACTAATACCACTGCCAGCTCCATGAGTCTGTGCATCTGGAGATCAGGGTGAGGATGGCAAGGTCCTTCCTGGCTCTGCAATTTTATTCCTTTGTTGTGTTGAAACAGAATAAGGAGTAGAGCTCAGATTGATTTCTTTCCTCTCACAGTCTCGGTCTCGCTCTCCTTTCACTTTTTCTTTCTTCCCTTTCTCTCTTTCAACCCCACTTTCATACAAATCCAAATGGACAAAGATCTTTGAGCTGATTTATGGTTTCTGCTCATACCTAGCCTGTCTCTCAAAGGGGTGAGAACACACATGGAATCAAAAAGGTTTATTTTCCTGCCTGCTAAGGCATTTTCAGTTGTCTTGCTCTCTAGTGGTTGATTATCTCCAGTGACAGGAAAAAAAGGGTGAAATTTTCTTGTCATCTAATAGAGAGTTTCAGTGTGCCCCACTAAGCTGGGTGTTTTTCCAGCAAGAATAGGGATCATCCATGCCACCTTTTTTGTCACCACCTACTGCTAACAGGTTTGGTTTAGATACCACCTACTCCTGCACCCAAAGACAACAGCTTAAATCCCTCCTTATGGGCCCGAGTAAATGCCCTGACTGGGGCCTATACCATCTCACACATATGGAGCCAGAGTTAACCATTCGGAATTTTACCCACTGCTCTGGAGTTTCCTGGTTGGATATTTACACTCTTTGGAAATGTATCGAATAGGATGTTGATATTGGGCAACCTAATTGCATAAATACCTGTGTTCATAAATGGGAGAGAAAAGAAAGTAGATTCCATTCCGTTCATAACATCTCTACTTCAGGAATTTCCCTTTAGAAGGCCTCCACTATCGAGGCAGGAAGACACTTCAGAAAGAGAAACCCCTGGAGACACAGAGCTGCCTCAGCCTGGGGAGGAATTCACTTGTCAACAAATCTCACTGGGAAATGGTCCTGTGTTTACTCTAGTTCAAAGGTTAAGAGCAGCAGCTGAGAGCTGTCCCAGAAAGAGTTGAGCTCTTTATCAGTTTCCCATGAAGACTTCAAAGATGCTGGAGAGATGGTCTTCTTTAATGAGCACTTGAATCTAAACAAGAAAAAAATGTACAAGTGGGAAAACATATACAAATTTACTGTAAAATCCAGAGTCAGGTTTTGCAATGTTATCTATGCATTTCTTCCCTTGATATCTTGTTCCCATTTCTGAAACAAATATGATCTGAGCTGTTAGCCAGTCACCTATAACAGTTTAATTGTATAGGTCCTGTCTCCTCCTGAAATCTTATAAACAATAAGAAGTTCCATGAGGCCAAGTGCTTGAGGAAGAGTCAGAAGGGACACCAAGAAGAAAAAGAGATTAGAGGCACAGAAAACTTCACCATCATTATGGTTTTCCAAAGGCTTAGATCTAGGCAGCAGTTCCCAAGTCAAAGATACCAGCGGCCTCCAATGCACCAGTGGACTTTCTGGAGATTTAAAAAAAAATTGCTACATTTGCATTTTAAAAGAGTTCTGGGCTGAGATTCAGAAAGTATTGCTCATTGTTGAAAACTAGGCCTTCCTGAAGATTGGTCTCAGGATGTTCTCTTTATAAGTTACAAACTATATTTGTGGATCATTCAAGTGTCCATGGCCCAGAAGTCATGTCAAGAATGATTATTTTGCTTTCTGCCTTGTTCCTATAGTCCTTGTCGACAATATGCCAGTCATAGGGCCAGTCTGGATTTGAATGAGGATAATTTTTTATTATTAATATCATTTATTACAATTTATTCAATTTGTATCCCAGCTATGTCCCCCTCCTTCATCTCCTCCCAATCCCACCCTCCTTCCGTCTTCCTCTATACTCTTCCCTTAATCCACTGATAGGGGAGGTCCTCCTCCCCTCCTATTTGACCCTAGCTTATCAGCTCTTATCAGCACTAGCTGCATTGTTTTCCTCTGTTGCCTGGCAAAGATGCACCCCCCTCCCTAGGGGAGGTGATCATAGAGCCAGCCACTGAGTTCATGCCAGAGAAATCCCCTTCTTCCCTTATTAGGGAACCCACATGGAGACTGAGTCTATGGGCTACATCTGAGTCAGGGTTTTAGGTCCTCTCCATTAATGGTCCCTTGTTGGGGTATCAGTCTCTGCAGGGCCCCAGGGCTCAATATTTTTGGCTCCATTGGTGGTAATCCTAAAATCCAGACTTAAACCAACCACATTGTCACACTGTCCTTTACTTGAAATGCATGTGCTCAATGAAAACTGTAGTGAATGGGCTGGAAAAATGTTTCAATGGTTTGCCCTTGAATAGGACTCTAGTTCAGGTCCCAGCACCCACACAGTGGTTCATAGCTGTCTGTATTTACAGCTCCAGAGGATCCAATGCCCTCTTCTGGGGCCAGGCACACATGTGGCACACATACATATATGTAGGCAAAACACTCATACACATAGATAGATAGATAGATAGATAGATAGATAGATAGATAGATAGATAGATAGATACATACATACATACATACATACATACATACATACATACATACGTACGTACATAGACATATAGATAGAAGAAAGAAAGATAAATCTTTTAAAAAGAAGACCATAGCACAGTGTCATTCTTTATCTAGTTGTATCACAACTCCAAACTCTCTAATCTCCTTGGTCTAACCAGTTCCAGTAATAAAAGAGTTTATTGTCGTCATCAGGGCGTGAAGGACCTACTGTCTGAGCCTGACTTCCTCCACAATAAAAGTCAGGTGCCTGCCTTGGCCAAGGAGTTGTTTCTTAAGGACACAGAAACTAATATAAACACCACCAACCATCAGTGCCATTGAACAGTCCAATCTCTGAAAGCTAGAGTTAATCTAAGCAGTGGCCTAGCCCCTTTCCAGGGGAAGAACTTGTTCCTTTAAGATTCCTTAGAGATCACATGAGGCCGTGGAAC